AGCACAAGACTGGGGAGAGTGTGGGCAGCCACACTCTTTTGAAGGCCACCGACCATGGAAAAGTCGGTGAGCACGGTCGGCGGCCTCCCAGGCCGACCCCCGACAACCCAAAACCCCCCCGCTGCCGAAAATGGGGCCTACTGGGCGGGGCGCGCCGCCGCGCGAAACTGCGGCACCCCGACCCCGCCGATCGGTCGGCCGCCGACCGGTCGGTCGGTCGGCTGGTCGGCCGCCGACCGATCGAGGCCCGCCGACGGTCGGCGGGTGCAACACTGCTAGCCACCGAATTTGCCCTCTAGCCACTAACAGTAGTGTGGTAGTAGAGACAATACTTTCGACCTTCCTCCTTGTCTCCCCTGTTTCTCCTAAGTCTCTCAACGCGGTCCTCCGTTGCAGCCAATACCCCAGTTCGTCCCTGAGTTCGGCGTTGGTCGGGCACCGTTAGTCCGAGTCATCAGCAGGCTGCTCCGACGCTGATCTGATGATCACCGGTACCCTCCTCGGGGTAGGCAGGCCGCTCGTCTCCCACTCCCTCGTGAACCCCTTCCGGGGTGGTCCCGAAGCCTTGGTCTTCACTGCTCCCATCGCCGCCCCTGGGTCTTTCTCGAAGCCGTTGTATGCCAACTGAACCTGTTGTCTAGCCAGGATCTCCACGACCTCTGGCTTTGTCATGTACTTTACAACTTTCTGCTCGCAAATCCTCCTGAGAACGTCCGCCTTCTTCGCCGAAAAAATCTTGTGTGCTGAAATGCAGTAGTCGATGAGGCCTTTCCTCGGAGCATTCAGCTGCCAGCCCCTTGTAGCTTCCCGTCAATGGCGTCTTCGGTTCGCCTCGTGCCTCGTCCCAGACTGCGTGGTTCTTCCCGATCTCCGTAGTATGGAACCTTTTATTACCTCTCGGGTCTGTCTTCCCCGACTCGGAGCACTCACCCCTCCCAAACGTCTTAGGTGGTGTTTCTCCCACCGCACCTTTCCCCTTCACCGCTCTACCCTGCTTGTGTTTGCTCGCTGACTTCTTTTTCCTCCCTCTGGGGGTTCGCTGATCCCGAGATTCGTCGGAGTCCATCGTCACTTCAGCCTCCGAAGAGTCGTCTTCTGTCGTTTCTTCGGAATCCGTCTCATCACTAGACTTCACTGCCTTCTTTTTCTTCTTCGTATGACTCCTCCCCTGTCCGTGAGCTGCTCTTCGGTTTATCCCTCTCTTTCTTATTCCTTGCTTCTTCGAAGATCCACTTGCTTTCTCGGCGATCTAATTGTTCTTCCTCCACTCCTCCAGCAATTCGGCGCGTAGTTGTAGTTTGAATTCCTCAGCTTTACGGGCAAAGTCTAGGTTCCTCCTAAGTTCTTCCTCCTCCGTCGCCCTTTTCTCATCTTCCAGCCTACGCTTCTCTTCCAGTTCCAATCTCTCCTTCCGCATCGCTCGGAAGTGCTCCTTGATCTCCTCCAATTCGGGATCCCCTTGCGGATTCGTGTCACCCCGAACCTTCCGCGCCCAACAATCTCGGGCAAAATGTCCGGGCTTCCCGCACTTGTAGCATCCGTTCCCGCGACCTCCCGTCGCGCCGTTGCCGCCGCCTTCGTGATACTCGTTCTAGTTTCCCCCATTCTGCACCGCGTTCGTAAACGGATTCCCGTTGCTTCCCGTCCCTTGCCCATTGCCCAAGCCAACCGCGTTGCCCCCCGTGGGGCCGTTCGTTAGGAACATCTCGTATATCCTATCGCCCGTCTACTCTCTTCGTACCAAGCGTGTCTATATTCTCGAAAACGAATAACAGAGATCTGCTGAAGCGAGCAGTCTAGAGATCCACTCACGCCATATATCCACGATCTCGCGATAGCGGATCCTCCGTCTCGTGCGGAGTGTAAGCAAAGTTGTTTCTATCTTAATCAAGAGGCTCATAAGCAAATCGTATAATCCTGCGCGCAGCATCTCATTCGTGACAACTCCTATCATTAAATGCATCGGTTGTATCGTATTTCTGACATAATCTTCCACAGCCTCGATAAGCCTACTAGTTCTCACTGTCGCGCGTCTCCTCACGTGTCCGCTGCTACCTCCACACCTAACACACGGAATCAGCATCGTGTTAAAAACCCGATCCGATTACGATAAACCCGATCCCGAGTAGTATAATCCCCACTCCATACAAGATGCGTGCCAATCCCGTGCTTCTCCTGATCATCCTATTGGTGACCGAGTAATTGAGAAAATCCCGAGCTCCCTTTTACTTCGCCAAGCTTATCCTGAGTCCCCGTTGGCCCGGATGCACGTAGTACGTCCGACCTCCACTACCGTACGAACACCCGAGCTCCCCGTGACTCCACCCAGTTCACCGGTTCATCGAGGCAAAGGTGCATGTCGTGAGTTCCCCGTTGTCTCGCTATCACACCCGTCTTCCTTCTCCTGTTCCGGTCAGCACCATCGTCGCCAGTACCTCGAGCAAGTCGACGCAGCCACCGTGCAACGCAAGAAAACTGACGGTTACTACGTGCCAGCGAGTGGCGAGCTGCGGCACACAGTCCGAGCAGCTATGTCAAACCTCACACACAAGTACACAGAAAACCGTCTGCTTGCATGAAGAGAGAGACATACAAACTGCACTCTGAGCATCATGTGGCATCCCCCGACCGGTTTCGCCTGCCCACACAGGCATCCTCGGGAGGGTGACTCCGTAGAGTCTTTGAGCTCAAAAGGGAGGCTAATGCCTTGCCTCCCTGGTTAAGTAGCGTTGCTCGTCTAGTCCCTTCCGTCGTTTCTCACATGCGAGCATCCTGCTGCAGACCTCTACGAAAACAAGAAGTATAACTAGTGAGCCAAAAGTTCCGGCGCCCAAGATTTATCTACCGCTTGAAGGCCAGGAAACGCATTAACAGCAGCCTACCTGTACCTAGTCGTAGTAATCTACCAAAAACATTCCGATTCAGTCACGGGCTGGAAGTGTAAAAAAGTCGGCCAAAATCCCGGCGCCCAAGATCTATCTACCGCTGGGAGCCTGAAAGGCATCAATCCCGAAAAAACCTGTACCTAGTCCCTGTAATTCACCAAAAGCATTCGGATTCGGTCACGGGTCCTGGGGCGGGGTCGACGCCGCTCAAGACTCATGCAGTCCCCTACTTTCACGAACTGTCGTCGCGAGTCCCACATG